TCCGGCACGAAGGACCAGATATCCGGCTCGAATGCCCAAATCTCCAGAGGCATCGATGTCATAAAAATCGAATAGATGATTCCGCCGCGAGTAAGTCGCCATAAACAGTGCACGTGGCAGTGCAGAATGCTGCATTGTGCATCGAAATAAAAGGCTAACATCTAACGATCAAGCATTGTAAACGTTAAACAATACGATTTAGGTGATTGAACATCGAAGCCTAGGAGTACCATGTGTGAATTAGGAAGCATTAAAGTTAGAACAAGCTAAAAGTCCTTTGAATGCAAAGGCAAAAGTTGCTCTTAGGATATCCGGCAAGCCCCAATGGTAGGTTGAATCTTTTGCCAGAATCACGGAAATAATAATAACTTTAACTTTTGTTCAAAATCCTAATGCTCAGATAACTCGTTAAAAACTTTCTAGTACAGTGACGAAACTAGGACTTTTGTTTTACAAGTAATGTACCTTAGCCCATCCTAGATTTGATTCTCGGACACGCCACTGAGTGATTCACGTATCAATAGAAGTGGCACCGAAATGTCACCAGTATCAATAGTACGGAGAGGCAACAAACCAAGGTATTTCACCAGGTTATGTGAAAAAATCACAATGCGAATCACTAAAAGAATCCGGCACGAAGGACCAGATATCCGGCTCGAATGCCCAAATCTCCAGAGGCATCGATGTCATAAAAATCGAATAGATGATTCCGCCGCGAGTAAGTCGCCATAAACAGTGCACGTAGCAGTGCAGAATGCTGCATTGTGCATCGAAGTAAAAGGCTAACATCTAACGATCAAGCATTGTAAAGATTAAAGGATACGATATAAGTGATTGAACATCGAAGCCTAGGTGTACCATGTGGGAATGCATCGAGGAAGCATGAAAGTTAGAACAAGCTAAAAGCCCCTTGAATGCAAAGGCAAAAGTTGCTCTTAGGATATCCGGCAAGCCCCAATGGTAGGTTGAATCTTTTGCCAGAATCACGGAAATAATAATAACTTTAACTTTTGTTCAAAATCCTAATGCTCAGATAACTCGTTAAAAACTTTCTAGTACAGTGACAAAACTAGGACTTTTGTTTTACAAGTAATGTACCTTAGCCCATCCCAGATTTGATTCTCGGACACGCCACTGAGTGATTCACGTATCAATAGAAGTGGCACCGAAATGTCACCAGTATCAATAGTACGGAGAGGCAACAAACCAAGGTATTTCACCAGGTTATGTGAAAAAATCACAATGCGACTCACTAAAAGAATCCGGCACGAAGGACCAGATATGCGGCTCGAAGTGAATTTGTGTGATTGAACATCGAAACCTAGGAGTACCATGTGTGAATGCATCGAGGAAACATCAAAGTTTGAACAAGCTAAAAGTCCTTTGAATGTGAAGGCAATTTTGCTCTTTGGGTATCGGGACCACGAGGTTGAATCCTTTGCCACAGTCAGGGAAATAAGGAGAAAACAAAGCAGTCCAAGAAACTTTACCAAAATCCTAATGCTCAGAAGTTTTTAGTAATGACAAAACTAGTACTTTTGTTTTCCAAGTAATGTACGGAACACTTATTAGCCTTAGCCCATCCCAGATTTGATTCTCGGACACGCCACTGAATGATTCACATATAAGTAGAAGTGGCACCGAAATAGAAATGTCACCAGCATCAATATTCCGGAGGGGTAACAAACCAAGGTATTTCACCAGGAAATGTGAAAAAAGTCACAACACTAACAATGCGAATCACTAAAAGAATGCGGTACGAAGGACGAGTTATGCGGCTAGAAGGACCAAATTTCCAGAGGCATCGGTGTCACCAAAATCGAATCCGTCGCGAGTAATTCGCAATAAACAGTGCACGTAGCAGTTGATTGGGCATCGAAGTAAAAGGCTAACATCTAACGATCAAGCATTGTGAAGGTAAAAGAACACGATTTGTGTGATTGAACATCGAAACCTAGGAGTACCATGTGTGAATGCATCGAGGAAACATCAAAGTTTGAACAAGCTAAAAGTCCTTTGAATGTGAAGGCAATTTTGCTCTTTGGGTATCGGGACCACGAGGTTGAATCCTTTGCCACAATCAGGGAAATAAGGAGAAAACAAAGCAGTCCAAAAAACTTTAGCAAAATAATAATGCTCAGATAACTTTTAGTAATGACAAAACTAGTACTTTTGTTTTCCAAGTGATGTACGGAACACTTTTATTAGCCTTAGCCCATCCCAGATTTGATTCTCGGACGCGCCACTGAATGATTCACATGTAAGTAGAAGTGGCACCGAAATAGAAATGTCACCAGTATCAATAGTCCGGAGGGGCAACAAACCAAGGTATTTCACCAGGAAATGTGAAAAAAATCACAACACTAACAATGCGAATCACTAAAAGAATGCGGCACGAAGGACGAGTTATGCGGCTAGAAGGACCAAATTTCCAGAGGCATCGGTGTCACCAAAATCGAATCCGTCGCGAGTAATTCGCAATAAACAGTGCACGTAGCAGTTGATTGGGCATCGAAGTAAAAGGCTAACATCTAACGATCAAGCATTGTGAAGGTTAAAGAACACGATTTGTGTGATTGAACATCGAAACCTAGGAGTACCATGTGTGAATGCATCGAGGAAACATCAAAGTTTGAACAAGCTAAAAGTCCTTTGAATGTGAAGGCAATTTTGCCCTTTGGGTATCGGGACCACGAGGTTGAATCCTTTGCCACAATCAGGGAAATAACGAGAAAACAAAGCAGTCCAAGAAACTTTACCAAAATCCTAATGCTCAGAAGTTTTTAGTAATGACAAAACTAGTACTTTTGTTTTCCAAGTAATGTACGGAACACTTATTAGCCTTAGCCCATCTCAGATTTGATTCTCGGACACGCCACTGAATGATTCACATATAAGTAGAAGTGGCACCGAAATAGAAATGTCACCAGTATCAATAGTCCGGAGGGGTAACAAACCAAGGTATTTCACCAGGAAATGTGAAAAAATCACAACACTAACAATGCGAATCACTAAAAGAATGCGGCACGAAGGACGAGTTATGCGGCTAGAAGGACCAAATTTCCAGAGGCATCGGTGTCACCAAAATCGAATCCGTCGCGAGTAATTCGCAATAAACAGTGCACGTAGCAGTTGATTGGGCATCGAAGTAAAAGGCTAACATCTAACGATCAAGCATTGTGAAGGTAAAAGAACACGATTTGTGTGATTGAACATAGAAACCTAGGAGTACCATGTGTGAATGCATCGAGGAAACATCAAAGTTTGAACAAGCTAAAAGTCCTTTGAATGTGAAGGCAATTTTGCCCTTTGGGTATCGGGACCACGAGGTTGAATCCTTTGCCACAATCAGGGAAATAAGGAGAAAACAAAGCAGTCCAAAAAACTTTAGCAAAATAATAATGCTCAGATAACTTTTAATAATGACAAAACTAGTACTTTTGTTTTCCAAGTAATGTACGGAACACTTATTAGCCTTAGCCCATCCCAGATTTGATTCTCGGACACGCCACTGAATGATTCACATATAAGTAGAAGTGGCACCGAAATAGAAATGTCACCAGTATCAATAGTCCGGAGGGGCAACAAACCAAGGTATTTCACCAGGAAATGTGAAAAAAATCACAACACTAACAATGCGAATCACTAAAAGAATGCGGCACGAAGGACGAGTTATGCGGCTAGAAGGACCAAATTTCCAGCGGCGTCGATGTCACCAAAATCGAATCCGTCGCGAGTAATTCGCAATAGTGCACGTAGCAGTTCAGAATGCTGCATTGGGCATCGAAGTAAAAGGCTAACATCTAACGATCAAGCATTGTGAAGGTAAAAGAACACGATTTGTGTGATTGAACATCGAAACCTAGGAGTACCATGTGTGAATGCATCGAGGAAACATCAAAGTTTGAACAAGCTAAAAGTCCTTTGAATGTGAAGGCAATTTGCTATTTGGGTATCGGGACCACGAGGTTGAATCCTTTGCCACAATCAGGGAAAGAAGGAGAAAACAAAGCAGTCCAAAAAACTTTAGCAAAACAATAATGCTTAGATAACTTTTAGTAATGACGAAACTAGTACTTTTGTTTTCCAAGTAATGTACGGAACACTTATTAGCCTTAGCCCATCCCAGATTTGATTCTCGGACACGCCACTGAATGATTCACATATAAGTAGAAGTGGCACCGAAATAGAAATGTCACCAGTATCAATAGTCCGGAGGGGTAACAAACCAAGGTATTTCACCAGGAAATGTGAAAAAAATCACAACACTAACAATGCGAATCACTAAAAGAATGCGGCACGAAGGACGAGTTATGCGGCTAGAAGGACCAAATTTCCAGAGGCATCGGTGTCACCAAAATCGAATCCGTCGCGAGTAATTCGCAATAAACAGTGCACGTAGCAGTTGATTGGGCATCGAAGTAAAAGGCTAACATCTAACGATCAAGCATTGTGAAGGTTAAAGAACACGATTTGTGTGATTGAACATCGAAACCTAGGAGTACCATGTGTGAATGCATCGAGGAAACATCAAAGTTTGAACAAGCTAAAAGTCCTTTGAATGTGAAGGCAATTTGCTATTTGGGTATCGGGACCACGAGGTTGAATCCTTTGCCACAGTCAGGGAAATAAGGAGAAAACAAAGCAGTCCAAGAAACTTTACCAAAATCCTAATGCTCAGAACTTTTTAGTAATGACGAAACTAGTACTTTTGTTTTCCAAGTAATGTACGGAACACTTATTAGCCTTAGCCCATCCCAGATTTGATTCTCGGACACGCCACTGAATGATTCAACAACAAACCAAGGTATTTCACCAGGAAATGTGAAAAAAATCACAACACTAACAATGCGAATCACTAAAAGAATGCGGCACGAAGGACGAGTTATGCGGCTAGAAGGACCAAATTTCCAGCAGCGTCGATGTCACCAAAATCGAAGAGATGATTCCGTCGCGAGTAATTCACCATAAACAGTGCAGGTAGCAATGCAGCGTTGAGCGTCGAAGTATAAGCGTCGCTTGTGCTTTTGGCGTCGTTAGATGGGATCGACGCGACGCCGCGCCGTCGGTGGGTCGACGAGTGCCGAGATATGTGTCCGGGCTCCCCACCACGGGTTCTGGGAACGCCCCATGGCCTATGGTGACCCTCGCGTGAACTAAGAACCTCCCCGGAACGCCCAGGCCAACTCAGTGTCGGGACCGAGACCGAAAGGTCACTAGTAGAGGCTAGAGTGTGTCGCTGGGTTGACCTATCACCTCCGATCTCGACAGAATACGTGCTCTGGCTGGAGATCGAACTCGTCCTAAGATACAGGTTCACAGTACAAGTGTCTAAGTGACTTGAACTCGGGTCGTCACGATGTCATCGCCTTAGTGACAGTGCAGTGTAGTTATCTATCGGTATCATGGCACTCGTGGCCAGTTCCTGGCGAGAATCCTCGCTGGTCAACCCTATCCCGACTAGTCTCAACTCGCTATCAAACGGACTGAATCCTTTACCACCCGCGGGGAATCTCAACCCTTTACCTACCAATATCAACCCAATTACGTTGGAGACCCCAGACATTGGACTTATCAACCGACAAACGCCATCGCAAAATTCTCAGAACAGTGCCAATAGTAACGATAAAAACCAGAACATTGAGTGTGTTGTGTGTGGAGATAAAAGTTCAGGAAAACATTACGGACAATTCACGTGTGAAGGTAGGTTGCTAACGTTTTTTAAAATTGGCGAAGGACCTGACACTCGAGCAGATCGCGATATGAGGTGAATGAGCAACAGGAGATTTTTTTGTTATTGGCCCTGGGCGCTCGGCCCATTCGCCAGAAACAGATCATGCAAACCTCCCTTAAAATATTATCTAAATCCGGATGCCAGAATTTTTAACAAATGTCCAAGATGTCAGGCTGTTGAATAAACAGCACATGCTCTATATCCGAAGAATATGTCGCAGAATTCGCATAGATCTGACTCAATCAGATGTAACCTAGCTAAGTGGGAAGGGAATGAGCCATGGCCAATGTTTGCCTGGATGATGATGGAAGCGTATTTTCTGGGAATATTAAAGTTGTTGTGCCATTGGATACGTGGTGTGCAATGTTAAATTCAACGGAGGTTTCTTCTGAAGCTTTTGCTTATCTCCATAGAATCCCTATGTAACGAAAGTAAATATATGCTTCAACTGACAGGGACAGGGAAATAAAAGTGCAAAAAATTAATTTTTCTACAAATTTCAACGTTGTTTTTTACTTCAAACTCCACATAAATGACCCCCTTTTCATATAATCCGTATTTGTACCACGGAGGAAAACTATGTTACGTCAATTTTTGCCCTGAATCGGTTTTCTGTGAAGTCCGCGATATTGTGAATTTTCATTTGCTACCTGCAGTGCCCACCTACCTGTAATAACAAAAAAGTTACCGCTTAATAAATCATATTAAGTCTAACAGCGTCTCCGGGCCACACTGTTGACAGGCCATATTATCTACTTGACGTATTCAGGTCTTCATGTCTCAAAATGACTGAACATATTATAGTGATCTATATAAAAGAGAAATTAGATAGTTCTTTACTTTAAATCAGTTTATTTAGTCCTGCAAGCATCTACAAAAAACCGAAACTCTTTGTGTCCATAATAATATTTATTCTCTCAATGTACAAGAAAACAACATGGGTAAATAGACATACAATAAAAAGGAGGCATTGCCTGTGAATGGACCAATAATTTCAAGCTGTAACTGCAGAATATAAATTACAAAAAAAGGGCAAGGATTAGTCACAGTGGATGACTTTATGAATTTCAGTCCTAGATATAGAACGTACCCACTTTTTCAAATTTCTTTTGAAATAATTTCCGAAATGTAAATCATTCAAGGCTTAGGTATAATTTCATAAAATTTTGGCGCTAAATAGAGGTATGATCGCTGCATTATAGATTTGTGTGGCTGAGAAACTGCTGTGCCACAAATTTTGTACCTCGTATGATGATGTTTAATTTTCTGGCCGATCTTGACGAATTTATGGTAGTGAGTGATTCTGTGTAAAAAATAAATCTGTCTTATACGAGCACATTTGTACATCTGAGTATAATTCTTCAGTGGGATAAAGTTTCGGTTTTTTGAACGTCATTTTCATCATAATTTTTTGAAAATCATCTAGATTATAACGGGTGATTTTTTAAGAGGTATAGGATTTGATTTTCAAAAAAAAAACACAAAAAATTTGAAAAAACGATTAAATCTACATTTGAGTCGATAGAACTGTCGATATAATTTAATGTTTAAAGATTATTTCATGTAAATGTTGGCCGCGGCTCCGCTTTAGATGGCCCATGCGCAAGGTCCAATTTTGGCACACTCTCTCCAACATATCGGCCGGTATCTTACGAATAAATGCTTCAATATTGGCTTCCAGTGCGTCAATCGTTGCTGGTTTAACCCTGTAGACCTTAGCCTTAACATGGCCCCACAAGAAATAGTCCAACGGCGTTAAATCACACGATCTAGGCGGCCAATTGACGGGTCCCAAACGTGAGATAAACTGTTCAGCGAACTGGCCGTTGTTTCGTGTGCGGTGTGGCATGTGGCACCGTCTTGTTGAAACCACATGTCAGCCAAGTCCAGCTCTTCCATTTTGAGCAAAAACAAGTTTGTTATCATCGCACGGTAGCGCTCGCCATTCACAGTCACGTTCCGGCCATTGTCGTCTTTGAAGAAGCACGGCCCGATGATGCCACCGGCCCATAATCCACACCAAACAGTGATTTTTTCGGGATGCATTGGTAGCTCTTGCAATGCTTCTGGCTGGTCTTCACTCCAGATGCGGCAATTTTGCTTGTTAACGTACCCATTCAACCAGAAATGAGCTTCGTCGCTGAACACAATTTTTCGATAAAAATGTGGATCTTCCTCCAACTTTGCCAGCGCCTATTCACCAAATGGGAAAGGAGGCCCAATTGCTGCGAACGGCGGCGAATCGACATTTCACGGTCATCACTAACACTGGCAGATACAGCCGCAATATTTTCTTCAGTCCGCACGCTACGTCTGCGTCTTGGTGGTTTAATGTCCAATAATGTAAACTGGGTTCGAAATTTAGTCACAAGCTTCTGAATAGCTCCCTCAGTAGGCCGACCAAATTGCCCATAAATCGTAAGCAGTGCTCGATGCACTCTCTTAACCGAGCATGAATTTTGATAGTAAAATTCAATAATTTGCAAGCGTTGTTCGTTCGTAAGTCGATTCATGGTTAAATTATAGACCAAACTGAACAAGTTTGACAATGACACAAGACACGATTCACGCGTCATCTGTCAAAAACAGTGTTGCCAAAAAGTTACTAGCAAAAAAATCACCCATTAGATACCTTCCTTTCTGTCAGTATATTCCCAAGGTATTTAATTTTGTACGACACGAAGCTAACTTTCTTTGACATGGTTATGGACTTGGTACATTTTGAACTTAATATTCGAGTAGGGCCTCATGCCAATAGGAAATAAACTTGATCTATCAAACTCGTAATGTTACGTAAATCACGTATTACAGGGACTATAAATCAGTATAAATGACAGTCGCGTCGGTGTCGGAGTGTGCTCAATCTCATCCAGAGACGTGTGAGCCCTGTGGGCTATCATTGTTCTTTGCAAAACATAATTATGCAATCATTATTTATCTGAGAGTGAAAACCTAACCAAAAGACAATGATGCACAAATTCCGTTGAAGCTGATGGTGACTATTCAGCAGTCATTATCGGTACTGAGAAAAAGAGAGACACCTGACTCATTTAGTTTTAAAGGACTTTGTCAAGGAACCAAAACCTCCTTTTTCGGAGAACAAGAACGTTCTGGAGATAATCTCTTAGTGTTTCAGTCAAGGGCGGATTTAGGATTTCGTCTAGGGGGGGACAAACGATATTTGGGGCTAGTAATTTTTCAACCTCAGTGGAACTTCTAGAATTTTCTGGACAGGCCACAGGCGCACCGCTAAACAAATCTCATAAATGTCTATTTCCAATTTAGGCATTGTAGTGCTTGGATGCAACACCAACCCCGAACAAAATCAGTCAAGTTTTACACACTTTTCAAATTACCATTGAGCAATAAACAGAACATAAATAACTTTTTAAGTGCAATCTGTTTATTACCCAGACTTAGATTTGTCACAATACTCGTATATACGTATAAATCGTAAGAATTGTGCTGTAAACGTAAATGATCCCAAAGAGCGACAGCGTTTGGAATACCAAAGGATATGAAAAAATCGCAATGCTCAGTTCCTATAGCTGTAAAGTAACACCAAATTTGATTACAAAAGCAAGTGTCAGAGGTCTAGGGGGGCGAGCGCCCTTCCCGCCCCCCCTAAATCCGCTGCCGGTTTTAGTGTTGAAGCACATTTGATTACAAGTGAAAAAGATACTCTCAGAAATAGAGATCATCTTGATAGCATTTTATCTCCACTCTGAGACGAACACCTGCAATAACAAACGAAGCCCTTAAAAAATTGAGTTCCATCATATCTCATTTTGAGGGTTTTGAATGATACTTAAATATATCATCTATATCCTTTTGTGTTGGATACTGCGTGTACATTTGAAACAAGTTTGTCGTTTGAATAGAGATCTCAATTTGTTATATAAACTTTTTTGCCTCTAGTCATTATTTACGCTTCTTGGACTTCACATTGTGTTACGTCAAACTTTGATACTTTTTTGTCAAAACCAAAGCTCTGTAAAAAACTACTTTCATTTTTCCGATGAACTTAAGAGAAATTCATGAAGTCGAGAGTCGCGGAAAATAACCTTAAGTAAAAGCAAGTATCTCAAAACGACTTATTTGGACTTAAGATAGTTTGCGTCAATTTATTGCATAACCTCTTCTGCCTCTAGTCATTATTTACGCTTCTTAGATTTCACATTGTGTTAAGTCAAACTTTGATATTTTTTTGTCAAAACCAAAGCTTTGTAAAAAAACTACTTTAATTTTTCCGATGAACTTAAGAGAAATTCATGAAGTCGTGAGTCGCGGAAAATAACCTTAGGTTAAAACAAGTATCTCAAAACGACTTATTTGGACTTAAGATAGTTTGCGTCAATTTATTGCATAACCTCTTCTGCCTCTAGTCATTATTTACGCTTCTTGGACTTCCATTGAGTTAAGTTAAACCTTGATACTTTTTTGTCAAAACCAAAGCTCTGTAAAAAAACTACTTATATTTTTCCGATGAACTTAAGAGAAATTCATGAAGTGAAAGCCGCGGAAAATAACCTTAAGTAAAAGCAAGTATCTCAAAACGACTTATTTGGACTTAAGATAGTTTGCGTCAATTTATTGCATAACCTCTCCTGCCTCTAGTCATTGTTTACGCCTCTTGGACTTCACATTGTGTTAAGTCAAACTTTGATACTTTTTTGTCAAAACCAAAGGTCTGTAAAAAAACTACTTTCATTTTTCCGATGAACTTAAGAGAAATTCATGAAGTCGAGAGTCACGGAAAATAACCTTAAGTAAAAGCAAGTATCTCAAAACGACTTATTTGGACTTAAGATAGTTTGCGTCAATTTATTGCATAACCTCTTCTGCCTCTAGTCATTATTTACGCTTCTTGGACTTCACATTGTGTTACGTCAAACTTTGATACTTTTTTGTCAAAACCAAAGCTCTGTAAAAAAACTACTTTAATTTTTCCGATGAACTTAAGAGAAAT